AAAAAAAAAAAAGGGCCACACCGTAAAGCAGGTACAAAGGAACAACGAGGGGGTCAGAGAGCAGCCAGTTGTCACGATGGCCCGTGGCGGCCAGGGCTGACCTCTGAAGGTGCTGCCCAAGGGCAGGGACACGGGTGCAAAGACGGAGCCTGTAGTCCCAGGACAAGAACACACGGTGAGCACACGCTTTATTTCTATCCCCTCACTGGCTCCCCCAAATCTCAGCAAAGCCCCTCGTGGGCGTTGGGCTCCCCCTGACCCCCCGCGATGGCACAGGCTGGCGGGTGGGCAGGACGAGGAACAGGGAATCGAGCGGTTGGTGTGGCTGTGGGACCCTCATGGGGGATCGCTGTGGCCTATGTCCCCAGAGGGCCTGACAGAGGCCTCCATTCCAGAGTCAGGGAGGCTCAGGTTGTCCTCATCCTCACGGACATGGTCACCGTCGTCGTCACCCTCGTCCTCCTCGCTGCCCTCGCTGTCCCCGAAGTTCACCGTCTCCCTCGACTTGTGGGGACTGGAGTCCATGCCGGTGCCAGAGGACGTGGACAGTTTGGGCTCTGATGCACTCGCGGGGGGCTCGTTTTCCAGCGTTGCGGGTTCCTGGGGGTTGAACAGCTGTCTAACCTGCAACTCCGTGTCCAGGTCCGGTTCTGGTTCCTTCTCCTTGTCTGTGTTGGGGGCCGGCTCAGGCTGTGTGGACAGGGAGACCGTGCTGCGCTGGGAGACCCTGGAATGAGGAGCACTGTGCTGCGGGGCCCCAGGGTGGGAGGGCGGCCGGATCTTCTCGGCCTCCTCCAGTTTACGCAGCAGGCAGCTCCAGTCAATCTGCGACGACAGGCGGATGCGGGAGCCCTCGATCTTTTTGAAGCCCAGGAGGAGGTCCATGAGCCCCTCGGTGATGGGGAAGGAGATGAAGCCCAGCTGCTTCCTGAGGTTCCTCTCGTACTTGTACTTGCAGATGAGCAGGGAGACCGCCTGCTCCACCAGGAAGCTCACGATCTCTTCAAACCAGGGGTTGGAGGCGTGGGGCAGGCTGGACTTGGACGAGATGGAGGGCAGCGGCTTCTTCCTCGAGAACTTGGTGCTGGAGCTCTGTGTGGCCTGGAGGGGAAAGGAGTTACGTCACGTCTCACGGGCCCCCGCCCATCACGCCTGCCAGCCCTGCCCGTCACAAACACGGATGCCACACGTGTCTCGCTAAGCATATGGCCTTGCCACACCTGTCATACTCAGCAGCCAACTCCATGCTCACCTCACTGTCACATCTGCCACACGTGTCAGGCCTGGGCAGAGCCAGCGACCTCAGGCAGTGTCATCCAAACCTGAGCTTTGGCCACCTGGTTCCTGCAGGTTTGTGCCCAGGCCTGTGGTCAGAGGGAGGTACGCCTGGGCCTTGGGGGTTGAGGAGACAGTGCTGGGGACCCAGCAGGGTGAGCCCACCCATGTCTTCAACATGTCCTTCCTGGCCAATGTCCCCACAGCCGGGATGAAACTGGAGAGTCTTGTTCGAGGCAGCTGGGGTGGAGAGAGCCAGAGCTAGGACACAGGGCCCCATCCGGGCGAAGGGCTCTCCCTATAGAAAGGGCCTCCAAGGGGACCAGTAGTTAGCATGATGGCTGTGTCGCTGGACTCC